TTTTGTCTCTTTCTGTTCCAACAAGGTCTATCTCTCTCCGAGTCCTCTCATCTCTCGCTGCTATTCAGTCCTTTGTGCGTCTTGTAGGTCGCGATCTGAGGGTTTGACATTTACAGAAGACTCTGCTACTGTAAAATGGTGAACTCTGAACAAAGGCAGATATGAGAGATAGAGAGAGGCATCCTCAACACCGCAGGAGAGAGAAAGAGAGGAGATGAGAGCGCGAGAGAAGAAATAGAGGAGGGTGTGTGAATGTGATTTGGGAAATGGCTTCTGTTTCCAGGAGCGATTAGGCTTTGAAGCTGAGCACTTCACCACTGACTGCACTGTCAGGCAGGCTCTCTCTCATCTCTTCCTCTCACGCTCCTACTCTTGCAGATACCGAGATTCCCGCTCTGTCAACACATCCCCACATCGCTCAAAAAGCTCTCCAAGAATAATGAAGTTCCCCCTCAGTTCGCCTTCTTCTCTCCACTGTGGGAACACACTGCAGCAGCAATTCCATAACAATGTGTGAAAGACAGCAAAGTGCCTGACACAGACACACTGGCTGCCTGACTTCCTCAGGTACACATCTACTCTTGTACACTCTTAGTATGTTGTCCTCTGACAGCAGACAAACACTTGCTCACATGCACCGACAACCATATTTCTTCCTAAATTCCCAACAAAATGTTTAAAAGGTCAGCATACTTTTTCTCAGGTGAGTTCATGCCATCAGTGCTTACCTCTAAGTCTTTTGTTGTCTTGCAGCTGTAGAGTGCCCCCCCCACCCCCCTTCTTTTCTTTTCTCCACACACTCTCTCTCTCACACACACAGACAAACAGTCTTAAACATCCTCCATCTCAATGCTTACCTTTGTCTTTCTTCTGCGCCCACGCTCTCTCGAACAAAGTCCGCCAGGGTCAGCCACGCAGAGGAAAGCAAGCTGCGCCAGCAGAGAGAGAGGGAGAAAGGGAGAGAGAGGGAGAGACTGTGATGAGCAGATGCACATATGAGAGACAGAAATGGAGGGGGGGATCTAGCAGTGTGCAAATTGGATGATGAGAAGGAAGGAAGGAGGGAGGGAAGGAAGGAAGGAAGGAAGAGAAGGAGGAGGAGGACAGGGATGAGGGGGAAAGGTGGGGGGGGGCACTCAGCTGCACTGGTATGAATATGACGCAGAGGCAGCAGCCAGAGCCACTTCTCCTCTCCTCTCCTCTCCTCTCCTCTCCTCACTCCTCTCCAGCCCCATCCCTCCATACCCACCGAGAGACGGGGGGGGAGAGAGGGCACTGTATCCATGGCAACGGCAGAGCAGCGGTAGGTAGCAGTTAGGAAGTGTGTTGGGGCACAGTGGCGTTCCTCTCTTTCTCTGCCTCTCTCACACACAAACAAGCTCTCGTCCTTCAGCAACCACAGACGTACAGTATACAGCCTCTGATATACTGGAGCGAACAAGCTGCACTGGATTTATTAGGACATGACAGGTAATGAGAAGCAGTTGTTTCTCAGACAGTTGGCAAACAGGCAGCAAGGAGGCGTGAGTTCATTCTGCTGTAAATGTAGAAAAGAACTGCCAGCAAGCAGTGGAATAAGTTACTTGTGTTAAATATAAATTCTTCACCACACAGGTACAGGGCAGGAATAATGCAGTGAAAACACTGCAAACACAATGATTTGAGACAGAATACAGACCATAATTTACAACTTCCCCAGAAGTAGGAGAAAACTAAAACTAAAAAAAAACTCCAATTATCCCTGTTTGGAGCTGAAAAAAATGACAAAAGGTAAAAAGGTGTTTTGCGGTGGCATTCAATGAATTTACACAGCTGTAACAACAATTATTCAAAACCGTCTTCCAGACATATACTTGTTGTTTTATTGTTTTTCCTGAAACACTGCTACAGTCATACATTTGTCTAAGGCTATGCGCTTTTTTTCCCATCCACACTCAACAGGAGTAATTTGGGGTTCTGTGTCTTGCTCAAAGATACTTTGAGGTGGAGCCGGGCTAACAACTCTCAAACTCAACTGCTGGACTAACATTAACATACTAACTAGCATTATATATATTTTATATAAATGTTACTAAAAACTTTACATAAATTTTATATGCCGTGCTGCATTACTAAAATAGTCTTGTTCTTCAGGAATTCATGTTCTTTAAATGAAATGCAGCAAGGGAAAAAAGTGATCAACGAGAATTATAATTGCTGCCTGGGGGATTCCTGGATTGAGGCCAGAAAATATACAGCACACAGACACAAACCTAAACTGCAGTGGGACTCTAACCTGGCGTGTCCTTTGTTTTGAGACTGCTCAGCAACAAGGATGCGTTTTCATATTCACCATGGCGCATGAGTGCATGACTTAACTGAAGAGCTCTGCCACGGTGAGAAAGCTCTTGGAGAATGTGTCAAGATTTTAAAACTTTACAAAAGGTAGTGGGAGAACAAAGTAGTTTTATTCTTCCCACAGCCGAGAATAAACGACACAGGCAAAGTGGTAAAACCACAGTGGAAGACCACAGTGTGTTTGTGTGTCGTTGTGGCTGGGCTCACCTCTAATCCATTTCTGCCTGTGGGACAGAGGGAATTGCCTATGGCTTTTCTGTACCATGTGGTACGAATCCTACTGAGGAACACATCACCCCCACTTTTGTTTTTGACCCAGTTAAATCCCCACCTCTGTGTTTCACAGCTTGTCCTTATGTTCACTCATCATACCTTTCACATGTATTACACCCAGTAACAAAAAGACATCCATCAATGTCCTTTATTTAATTTACCTTCCCAGCTCCGAGAGAAAACAATTTTTCTTCCCAGTGTGATGTCCGGTTAAGTCCTCAGTGAGTGATAATGTGTTCACAGTGGTACTCTCTTGTGTAAATTTCATGATGTGTGGTCACCTCTTGTCTCTGTCCAGAAATGATCTTTTGTAATGGATGTGAATGGCCTCCTTGATCTTTCTCCCGCCGTCCACTGACTCCTGGAAAATCATATTCTTATCATATTCATATCATATCATATTCATTTTCAGGGGAAGATGTGCACCAAGAATAGTGATTTTAAAATCAGTGCTTTTAAAATATAAGTGTGTTTCCACAGGTAGAACGTTAAACGTTGCTAAGCAGTGGCCACTGGGGCAACAAGTGGCAATTATAGGACAATAATAAGTGCTAAAAAAGTAATCAAACAGTCTTAAGACAGCAAACTGACTCAGCAAGTCAGTATCTACCTAAAGTTTGCTAACATTAACACATTAACACTGGCCACCATACGCTACTTATCATACCATATAAGGCTGTAGCATGAAACCCCCCTAGTGTATTATATTGCACAAAGGTTCCTTTAACTTATCTTTAATTCAGCTTTACATTCCAGAGGATAAATGTGTAATTTCTTCAAAGGATACAGCCTTGTTTTAATATAACCTGCGACTTTGGTACACATGAAAAACAATTAACATCTAATTATGTGATTCATGTAGCTTACTAATTAGGGGTGTGACGAGATCTCGTCACTGTGAAAAGTTGTCTCACGATATCAGCATGACAGAGTGTGCGGGTGAAATTAGCACCGAAGATATCTCCGACATTTCTGAGTGGCAACATTTTGATTGCATTTTTATGACTGTTTTTCCAGTCATACATTTCATCATTGAAGATTTCTTAAAAATAGTGGGAGCAAGAATATAAAATGTTAACAATGAAGAGATGTGTCCTTTAACTGTGGCACAAAATACACCTCAGACTAAAGAGTTTAAAGTTTTTCTCATCCAAGGAATGCAAGAGTCCTCCAGGTCCTGAAGAGCCCTCCTTACTTCCTTGTTTCCACGGCCACTGAAAGTACAAGCAATTACAATTAATCAAACTATGGGAGCAAGAAATGTCAAATAAATGAAAAAGAACCAGGAAACTGCAGTACAGGCAGTGCCAATAAACCAGCTCTAAAAAACAATAACAACATACTCAAAATATTTTTTATCTTTATCTTAATCTCTGTCCTTTTTGTTACAGTGTTTGTTTTGTGGTGTGTTTTTCAGAATCAGAAGTACTTTATTGATCCGTCTAAATCATGTGACAAGTCACTGGAGGTCTGCATTATATAGTAGAGACTCTGAAGGAGAGAAATGACCCATAACGTTGCATGTTTGTGCGTTGTGGTGTTGCTGTAGTAGAGAGTGCTGCATGTTTTACACGTACACACTACTACAGTTCCTTGTGTTCCTTCTAGTGTTACCAGATTCCTGGAAGAGCTGTGAGCTGTGTGTCGTGTTGTTGTATTGGATTGCACTGCATTGTAAGGTGACTCTGATGATGTTTCTGCTGCTCCATATGTGACAGGAGACAAAACAGTAGAACCATATTTCACTCATTTGGAGTCTATTCCCACGGCAGCCTACAACAAAAAGTGAGCTGTTGAAGTAAGGACTTTGTATTAGTTGTTTCTATTTGTCTGGTCGCTCAATGTATCATAACAAACAGACAGTTGGGCTGTTCTCATAAATCAGCTATAACAATCATGATGAATTTAAGATTAATTTCAAGTATTATATCATACAAACAATATTAAATGATGCATATAATCCACACTTAAACAATCCTAAAGGGATGTTAAAGAATGTCTGCACACATTGTAGCCTAATGACTTATTAATCGACTTATTATTAATGACTAATTAAATTGGAATGATTTGATGAACAGAAATATTCTTCCAATGTTTTATCCATCTGGTCATGTTTATCATGTGTAACTAACCTACCTGCATGTATTCACTTGATAGTTGGTCTCCAGTTGTTTCTGCCATTGTTACCATTATGGCTACGTTAATAAAACATTAGTATATAATCTATGTTAACAAACAACTGCAAAAGTAATGTATTGGGGCTTGTGCCTGGTGTTTTTGTCCTCTTAACTTTAAACAGCCAGCCACCACAGAAGTAGGCAGGACTACAGAGAAACGTGGCCACGCAACCTCTGACCCCCGGCGTCACTTTGCGTCATTTTGCCGGGAATGGCGGACCACGTGTGTCTTGCCGGCGTGCTTGTTCCTCCAATGCGCGATTCATTACTTTTCATTCTGAAACGTGTCGGGGCTGGGGCAGGGAGTATACTTGCAAGATGGCGGCGCGGTGGGGAGCAGGCGAAGAGACTTTAACAGCGTGCAATATGGAGTTTTTCCCTATGGATACACTAGACGAGGTAAGGAACATGTTGAATACTTCATTCCCTAGCATGTACGTCCATTGTTAGTGGTTTTGTGAGTGTTTCTGGAAGCAGGGCAGAGCCGCACACTACCCATGGAAAAGTGACACGTGGATGCAGCCGTAGTATCACACGGGTAAAACTTATTCACAAAGTCCTCATTGCTATGTGGGGATTACAGCTAGATAACGCTTAAGACGTATACGTATTAAACAATACACAATCCTTCATTGTATGTGATGGTGTTTTAGCTGTGTGGTAATGCTAGCTGGTGAGTCAGTTAACGTTAGGTCGGTTAGTGAACAACGCAGGTTTCCTCCCTTTATAATATAAAGAGCCGTTTAAACAAGTGAAGTGACAGCGGTGTGTTTTTATAGGTAGTTGGCCTGGCATGTGCATACGTTGTATAGTTAATATCAGTAACACGCATTTAAGCTACATCAGTAGGTTTATGTGCCAAAGTACTGTGTGCTGTTCATCAACTGATCCATACACACGTGGTAACAGACATTGCAAGATGGTAGTCAGCCAGCTTTATCATCATTGCAGTGTGGATGTAACATTATAACGTTCCTACTTTTTCAGTTTGACAGCGGTTAAGGTGCCATACGTTCATTTCGCCGGTTGGTAACGTTAATTTCGCCATTGTGTAGTCTGTAGGCTCCATGCCAGCACATTGCAGTAATGTGTCATCAGTAGTGATGCACACAATGATGAAGCTCATTTATATTTAGACATTCAGCCGGTACAGTTGCATACACCTGTGTGATTGATTCACTCTGACACTGCAGCAGCATATCAGATTTTCATTCACAAGCCGTGTGTGTGTATATCCACATGTGGTTTAGTCGTGGTGAATCACATGTTGGGTTCCCTCACACATGCGCAGCAGGATCACTCGATTTAAACTCTCACACACACACACATCCTGCCGTAGAGGAAACACACAACTACTTGTGGGTCTTTTTTACGTTTGGTGCAAGGTGTTTAAATGTTGCCTGTCAGTAGGTAATAATTAAAATATCGGCTAGGAGCAGAGATGAGGGCCATGCTAGGGTTTGTTGTAGTGCAACACATGGGCTAGGTAGCCACTCTTTGGACGGGGTGAGGCTGGGATCAAACATGTCTGCGCACTGTGTGTGCATGTGTAGTCAGAAACACGTGGTTCGCTGTAAGATACCACTGTGCTGCTTTTCCAGATGAAAGTGCATAATGTTATCAGCTATGTTTCCTCTTGAAAGGTGACCTGTAAGCTGGACATGGTGTAGTTATGCATATGATTGAAATCTGAGATGTTATACAGCAAGTAAGCCTACATCAAATGGTATCTTGCACATTTTAACTTTTTTTTAATGGAATTTAAATTCATTTATTAAAATTGTGTTTAAAATGTAAGTTTTTCAGACATAGGGATGTTGTTGGTCATCTTTGGACAGATTATTTGTTTAAGGTATTTAATTTATCAAGTTATATGTTTAGTTATTTATTGATATGTATGTAAATTGGAGCTCTACATCTACAATATGTACTTGCTCCAATCTTCTTGTATATTTCAGATTATAGGAAAGTGCCTCTGCTATTTTGTTTTCTTCTTCATCAAGCTGAAACTAAAAACACATGCCCTCCCTTGCCCTCTGGGGTTTCCTTTTCTGACTCTCATTTTCAAATGCCTGACTTGAGCTTAGGCTCACTCCCACCACCAAATAAACAATCTAGGTTGACCTATTTCACTGTTCAATCCTTACACAGACGAGACTTAATTTATTTAAGTAACATTTTCAGCTTAAATTATTTGGTTGAAAACATGTCCACTCTGCCTAAATAGAGTGACGCATTGTAAAACACCGCTTTTTGTAACAGAGGTGGTAGAACAACCAGAAGCACTATGTCAAAGGCAGTTGACTAAAGAAAGGAAATAACTCAAAAGCAGTTGAAGTCCAGTTGTAATGGAATGCACCCCAGTGGTCCATACATGATACTACAAGGATGTATGTTTTTGACTGAAGTCTCAGACCCCAATATAGCTTCACATCTAAAAGCATAGAGACCATACAGTTTTAATATAGTAAGGTTGCTACCATGACATCAAATGTCTCAATATTGCTAAATAATGAATTTTAGGGGCTGTTTAAAATAAAGAGACAGAAGTGGTTAGTTGTTTTCTTTTTGCATTTTTGAAGTGTATTGACGACGTAAACGTGTTAGTAGCGGATGTTTGTCTTTATCCACAGTACTGAGGTAATTGAATGTTAGTAGTAGGGCTGGACGATATGGCCAAAAATTTTATCACGATAAAAAGTTTCATATCTTTCGATATCGATAATTATCACAATAAGTATGAAAGTTTTTTCTTTCAAGTTTAAAAGCTGATTTTTTTGCTCCTGAGTGAAAGTTGAAGAAACCTGATGCCAAACAGTGGATCACATCACAAATCTGAGATGGAACATTCAAAATATTTATGATAATATCTTCGTCAACAAATATCTTTAAGTAAAAAAGCTTTTTCAGTCCTTTTTCCTCTACAGAATAAACATCTTTAATAAGAAAAATTAAGTCCTAATTCGTGTATGATTCAAGTGAATAAAATCAAACATTTATTGAATATTTATTGAACATTGTTATATTGTTATTGAAGAAAAATTATATTGCGATAATTATTTTATTGTCCAGCCCTGGTTAGTAGCCACAATTATGTACGTGTTCAGGGCCGCTTGCAGATGCCTGAATCATGTTTCCAGTTTTGTGAGATGATTTTTGCCAAAGAAATCTAAAGTGCATTTTTCCCTCTCTAGGCTGCTGTGCTGAGCTCTGGAGAAACTATGGAGGCACTTCAAAGCTGCTTGGACCCCTCCATCCTCTCTATCTTTGAGGACACGCCAACAATAGAGGCAAGACTAATTTCACATGGCTGAGTGTTAGAGCAACCCAAAAGAGCTCTATGATATGCAAACGTTATACACTTGTTTGTTTATACTGTGCATGCTTTGACCTCATTTCCATGTGTTTTGTTTAGACTAAAGGACTAGATGAAGAGAGCGAAGCCACGCTGCTAACGGCTCTGACGGAGATCCTTGACAATGTGGATGATGATAACCTGTCCCCGTTTGACACACTGCCCGACTCGGACCTGCTGTCAGGTCAGAAGGGCAGGGAAAACTCCCCGGTTAGTGCCCACCTGTCATACATAAATCTCAAAGTGGCTCACAGATTCCTGCTTTTGACATCCCCCATTCTTTGAGCTTTGGGCAGAGAGAGTGAAATGTGGTGGAGGGAAAGCCTGCTGACCTCTGCGGTTCTAAACTTACTCCTTACCCATTATGTTAAAATCTGCAAATGTAAGAAAGTGATGTCATTATGCTTTTCTTTCACTTTCTAGCTCAGGAGATTGCTGTGTTTGTCCCGTTCCCCTCCAGAGAAAGACACCCTTGGTAGCGCAAGACCCTTATCAACTGGAAAGGTAGCTTTTTTCCACTCATAAGCAATGTATATAAACTGGTACAGCAGACGGATCTCAGAATTTATCTGGATATGTGTCTCCCTGTCTGTACCCAGAGTCTCCCCAGGATACTGGCAGACTCTCTCCAGAGGAGTGATGGGGAGGAAGAGGAAGATGGCTCCCTCACTCTGAGTCCAGTGAGCCACGATTCATCTCCGGACAATGACCTGCTAGACTGGGAAGGTCTGACCCTCCCGCTTCCTGTCACATTTGAGCAGGAGGGTGAATATGGTGTTTCAGTTAGCCTGGGAGATCTGGTCCGGCATATGCACCCCTACTGTATGGCCATTTGTATGGAGAATGACGAAGGGGAACAGATGTTGCCCGAAGGAGGCATCTTATTTGAGGTTGTGGACCAGGGGGAAAATGGAGAACCCATCCTGGCCATCCCAGACATGGATCTCCCAGTCTCTGTACCACTTACAGAGCAGTCTACAGAAAATGATCAGGACGTTTCACAAGAAGTGGCCTCTGACAGTTTGGAGCATATAGTCATCGTTGATGATGATGTAACAGCCAGTGAGGCTCCAGTCAAAGTTGCCCCTGTGACACCAGACCTATGTTCAGATGTGAAAGATGAGATGGTCATTAAGAGACAGAAAGAAGAGATTAAAGAGAAAAGCCCCTCGCGGAGGAAAAAGAAAAAGAAATGCAAGAAACAGTTCCAACCCAAACCTGTGGAGGGAAGGGTCCTTCGGAGTGGCACAGTAGGAAATGCAGCACAGGAATCTCCCAAAAAGCTTGAAAAAAGGTCTGTCAAAGGAGAGAAAAAACACAAGTATATACAAGTCCCAAAGGGTCCTCTTGCCTCTTCCTCTGTAAAACCTAAGAAATTTAATCCATGCCAAACTCAAATCACCACTACAACACTATTGCCTGAAATGAATGCACAAGTTGCCATGTCTGTCTCACCTAGACAGAAAACAGCTCCATTAAATGCTAGCCCTGAGATGAGTCAGCCTAGCTGTTCACTCACAGCAGTGATCTCCCAACAGCCTGATGAAACGCCTAAACAGCAGGCCCCCGAGAAGCTGGAAGACTCATCAGCAGCTCCCTCTGCTGTCCTGCCTCCTGTGTCTTTAGAGAGCCCTGCAACTGCTCCTAGCCCCGTACTACCCCAGATAACACCACCTGTTAGTGAGGCCCTCCTTCCTGAGGCCCCTGCAGCCTCAGAGCCAAAGCCCAAATCACTCAGTCTAGCAGAGTACCGGCGGCTCCGACAGCAGAAAAAGCCGGCTCCGGTGGAAAATCAAGATGACAACAGCACTAAGTGGCCCAGCCTTCCAGAGCTTCCTAAAGAGCTTCCCCCTATTCCCTGCCTGCCCGACCCCACCCCCAGGGATCCTCGACGCCCCGACCCCCAGGCAGCGAAGAAGGACGAGGAGGTCAAACCTGCCTGGCAGCCAAGGGGACCATGTGCACCACCCACCCCCGAGGCACTTTTGGTTCCACCGGCCTACATGGTTGCCTCATCAAGCAAGGTTTCAGCTGCTACTCCTGTTCCTAAACCCGGAAGCAAGCAAACACCTGAACCTTCCAAACCTTCTCTACCCCAAAAGCCTTTAACTCCTGCCCCTAATGCTGTAAAGAATTTACCCACACACCAACGCACCACTGTTCAACCTGCAGTGCCTTGTGTGCCTCAGAGCTCTGGGTCTCCAACTGCCACTCAGTTCATGTCGCCAACAGCTGGGAATTGTTCTTCTGCACTTTCAGTAGGAAAGGGTGGAGTCGATGAAAGCCCCCAATCTCAGCCTGTATCTCCTAAGTGCTTAGAGCTCACTAAAACCTGTCCTAAAACCACTAAAGAGTCGATCAAACCCACCACTGCTACTGTGTCTGCTCCCATTGCCCCCCAGAAGATCACTGTTGTTTCCCAGAAGATGCCTCAGGTCACTGCTCCTACCTCGTTAAATAACCCCATCACATCAAATGGCATGTCCTCCAGACCCACAGCCAATGGTGCCCAGCTGAGTTCTTCTCCGGGGACCCATCCCTCAGGCTCCCAGAGTATAAAAACAGAACCTGGTGTGCTTGAAACTAAAGAGAAACCCACTACAGCAGTGAAACCCCAAAGGGCAAAGAACCCCACGCAGGAGCTGATTGAGGCCTTCACCAGTGAGATAGGTGAGTTTTGTTGTTATGATTGGTAAAATGTTAGTTTGTTCATGAAAAGGCTGACAGTATTGATTCTATTTCTGTACCCTTCTTTTTTTTTTTTTTTTTAATTGAAAGCATTTTTTCCTTGTGAACAAATACACATTTAAGCAATTGATTAATTAACATACAAGCAATTGGTATTTATCTAGAACCCCTTGTCAGAAAATTGCCTTGTCATTGTCTCATCTCTGCTGCACTGGTACTTTAGCCTGCCCTTGATCTGCTCCAGTGCTTGGCTGATGTGCAGGAACCCAGTATCAGAAATTATTTAGGAAAGACTGTCTGCTGTTAGTGCAGTAAAATGATATGCAATGTCACTGTAAAAATCGAAACACTTGCGCTCCTCTGTAAAACTTAATGTATAATCATCTTACACCTGTCTCACGCCATAAATTGACCCTACATCCTGTTTCTCTTGTTTGACTGTTCTTGCTTTATTTCAATGTAACTCTTAACAGCATAACATTTGTGTATAAGAGCATGTATGCTCAGCCATCATGTGGTGTATAAATACTAGTTAATTAAAAACAATTCTGCTGAGTTTTGTGTTATAATCAATACATCTTTTTTGTAGGGATTGAAGCTGCTGATCTGACCAGCTTGCTGGAGCAGTTTGAGGAAACCCAAGGTAATCAATAATGGCAGATTTTTACTGTATCCATTCTGTCTGAAAGAAGTGCTCTGTCCATTCCATGTTTGACAATGTTACCCACTCCAGTGTTAGTGTTTTATTTGTCAGACTTACTTTCTGGCATAAGGGTGGTCGTACTGGCCAGTAGCTCAGTGGGTCACATAGTTTAGTACCAAGCTAAATGTAGTCAGAGTATCAGTTTTCCGGGTTTCGTAATGGCAGGAAGTGGAATTCAACACTGCAGCACTATCTTGGTTATCAGTAGTGGTTTAGTGGGTAGAAGGACTTTAACTAAAAGACTTGAAGTGCATACTTAAAGAGCTTTATTTATCACAAATCAACAAAAACACTGCTGTTGTGCAAATGCTTTGAAGTTGGTCTGCAGTGAATGTAGATGACCCTTCCTTTATATTTTTGACAAGGTGAATACATCACAAAAGTGACCAGTGGAACAAAGATGTTATGAGATGGTTCATATGACCTTAAAGGTTATCTGAGCCTCCTGATCAAAATGGCAGGGCATATTTTTTATCTACCGAAACATTCCCCTTTAAGAGATGGGTGCTGTGGGGGCAGAGAAACTGCTTTGTGCTTGTGTCTGCTCCGCTGCTGGAATTCTGCCCTGTCCGCAAATCCATTTAACTCTCGCACTGCTGTCTTTGTTTGGGCGGATGTACAAGCCCCAACCCTGACCAGCGGCTGGACTCTGTATGTGCCGTTACTCACATCAGTGGACTTGTTATTGACCTGTTGTTGAACAATCATATTAAGTACTACGGTTATTGTAGCTAGTCACCATTTGGAGAATTCCCATGAAAAATGCAGTGTGTACTGATATTACGAGTGCAAAACACACTACATTTATATCTGACTTGCTGCAGGTTGTGAAGTTCATCCTGTCATTCAAGCAGAATTTCGAAATTTGTTTTTGGGGCTGTGTCTTTCTCTGTTAATTTTGTTCTTCCCTGTGCTGATGCACTTATATCCTTGTTCCTTCTCTCTTCAGCCAAAGAGGAGCAATGTGTGCCGGAGGTCTCTGGTAGAGCAGCAGCTGTAGGAAACTCTAGGTGAGTTACCCTACAGCCCTGAAGCTGCTCTGTGTGAGTGATGGAGTCATGGTTTCTCTGAAGATCCCCGGGAGAGTGAAACCTGTTTTGTGTGTGGATGTGATGCAAACCTTTTGCCAAGACCTACCGCAGACCCTGCTTTGTCTGGCCACAGTGATGGCCATCTCAGATCTGAATTTGTGCAACCTGGTCTAATGGTTTTGTTTTTTTCTGTCTGGACTTGGCTGAGCTCTAATCCAAAGACAAACTTTGATGGCAGCTACACTATTTACCAGCGATATAATAACTGGCTCTTGTGTTCCCTTTGCAGTGTTGGGTTGGCTCCAGAGATAACAGTTGTGGAGCGTGTGAGAGCTAATGACCTAGCAAGTACTGCAGGTAATTCAGCATTTTGACTTTGGCTTCAAGATGAGTCCATTAAGTTAAATCATTTAAAATAACAAAGAAAGGTTACTTTTTTCCTTTTTATAAAGGTGCAAAGAAGTTTTCCATTATAATCTGTCCTTGTATGGCTTCTCTGCTCTAAATGTTTAGAGCATTAAAACTGCAGAGGCATGAGAAATGGTTACTAAAATACTACTACATGATCAGAGATTGGCTACCTTGCAACACAGATGGCCGACTGCTCTTTAATGTTAACTGTACTGTGATGCACTTCGTTTCTCTCTGATCAGCTCTGACTCCACCAGCCACTCCTCCCCACCAGATGTGGAAACCCCTGGCCGCTGTGGCCCTGCTGGGGAAGAGCAAGGCTGCTGAGGCCTCCAAGTCGAGTCCCTCCAAAGTTATCCAGATAGAAGCTCGGCCTCTGCCCTCAGTCAGGTCCCGCAGCAAACCTGCTGCTGCTGCTGCTGCCACTGTAGTCCCCGACGTGGCATGCATGGACCATGACTACTGCCTCCCCAACAAAGACACTTCTACAGGAGAGCAAGGCAAACGCTGGAATGTCAAACAGCAGTCTTCTATCACTATTAAACCCATTAAGCAACCCGGTGCAACCACTACACACACACCTCCATCGGCCCCGGTATCGCCTGCCCAGTCAACGACAAGTGCTGCAGTTATAACCAAGACACAAGAGTTTCCACTGATGGAGCCCCTGGATCACAGGACTGATGGGATGCAGGGAAGTTCTGTTCTGGAGACTCCTGATGCTTCGCCTGCTCGGCAGGAGATTGATGGAACTGTCAAAGAAGGAAGCCCCAGGAGAGGGCCCCTCAAGAGGTCCTACCGTCGACGTGCCGCTTCTCGCACACCCAGCCCCAGACCTAGTCCCAAAGAACGGACTGGAGGCCGGTCGAGAAAAAGAAGATCCCATCGTTCTCCCAGCCCTACGTCCAGCGGGTCAGAGTCAGACTCCCATTCCTCTAGGTATCGGTTTAGATCACGCTCTCCATCTAAAAAAAGGTTAGGCCCTCAGTTGACATATCTTCAATTCATGCAGCATTTTCAGGACCAGTTCTTGGGGTTTTCATTTCACTTGTTCATCACTGGTATTTCTTTCTCATTAGGTATCGTCCCTGTCACTCTGGGAGTAGTTCCAGCTCCTCATCCCGTTCCTCCTCTCGGTCCTCTACCTCTGTGTCCCACTCTCCTCCCAGGAGGAGGAAGTACTCTTATTCCTCCTCTTGTTCTGGCTCTTGGAGCCGCTCCAGGTCACGGTCTCGATCCCCTCAAAGACGAGCACAGTGGAGTAGAAGCAGTAGATTGTACAGGTACAGTATATGTCTCATGCTCATGTAGACACTAGTCATTACATGAATGTTATAGCTGTTACAGTTGTGCATAACAAATACTTGGACAAAGAAAATACTAAATGCTTCATCTTGTCGTCTTCAGCCCTTCAGGTAGACCTGGCTATGGTCACGGTACAAAGGCAAATGTGGAAGAAGTCAAGAGATGCAAGGAGAAAGCCATTGTAAGTTAATTTTACGGAATACATAAGTATCAAAGTAAAATATTGTATCTATGAATCATCTGATCGACTACTTTCTTCTCTCAGGAGGAGCGCCGGGTTGTTTACATTGGTCGAATTCGAGCAACAATGACCCAAAAAGAGCTTAAAGAGCGCTTCTCTGTGTTTGGTGAAATTGAAGATTGCACCCTGCACTTTAGAGACCATGGGTAAGTACATACAACAGCAAGTATTATACATGCATGTTTCTCTTTGTTTGCTTTAGTGATAAGGGACTACTTTCCTGTTGAAATTTTAAGAAGACTGTAATATGAGCATACGGCACTGTCTTTGAACCTTGTTGGTCTTGCCTGTGACCCCTTAGGCCAAGCTACAGTGCTAAAGCAAATTCAGACTTGTTCATAACTGGGGCCTCCTAGCAGCACCCCTAGGTGGCTCTTTTAAAAACAAGTCACAGCTCAAAACTATGTAAAAGACCTGTTATGACCTTCACTAGACTGAAAATGAATACATGCTAATGTTTTGGTTATCTGTCACAGGGACAACTATGGGTTTGTGACTTATTACGACAACAAGGATGCTTTTACAGCCATAGAGAATGGAGGCAAGCTGCGCAAGCCTGATGAGCTGCCATTCGATCTCTGTTTTGGTGGAAGGAGACAGTTCTGCAAGTCCAGCTATTCTGACCTGGGTACGCATAAATTGACAGACACAACAAACGTTCCTGTAGCTCTCGCTGTTGATTTATCCAAATGGTATTGATGTGGTTTGCAGAAGATTGGCAATAATGTGCGGTTTACAAATTCTTTTTCAACATGCAATTATCACAAAGTATACATTAAGATATAGGATATTGAAGACTTGCGCTACTCCTTTTGATTTCACAAAAAAATTTAGGTTAGGTAGGTTTTGCAGGGGTTATTTGGACTCGTGACTTAACAACTTGTAAAAATCCTGGCTCCAGCTGTGCTTTCAAGAGTCGCCATCAAAATTGTCCAACCCAAATGCAGTGTTGTGCTGTCCTTGTCCGTTTTTATTTTAACGCAGTGTTGACTTCGTCTGTCTTTTCTTTTCAGATTCGAGTAGAGAGTACGATCCATTGCCTGCAAAAGGCAAGTTTCATGCACTAGACTTTGACACTTTACTGAAGCAGGCCCAGCAGAATCTGAAGAGGTAACACGAGGCCTGAAGCAGGAAGCAGCTGATACTTACCTCAGAGCCAACGGTTGGCTCCTCACCTGCAACACTGTCTTTACATTTAAGTTGTTGCATTAGTTTTGCATTTATTTTGTTTGTTTTATTTTGTTTCTGCAAGCTAACACCTTCTATTGAAGTGAAGATTTGTAATGAAAGTAGGAAAAGAAAAAAAATGGAATAAGTGAAATTAAATTTTTTTAAAGTTTATTTAAATACAAAAGTCAAATTTAAATTGTATGGAGAGAATCATTTTTAAAATGGGGGAAGGTAAGTGGAATAAAACTCCCTAATTATTGGGAGAGGCTGTAATACATTTGAATGTACTACAAACCTAAATAAAAAGGAACCTTAACTGCATTGTTTTGTTTTTCATTCCATCTCAACTATGCATGGCTTTTTTCATTTTTTAGTTACATCTGTAAAAATAAAGGGAAGTAATTTATCAGAGGTAATAGGCCTTCTTCACATAAGACAAGCTAAACTTCGGTGTAAATATAAGTAATGGCTCGATTGAGGTGAAACTCATCTTGTTAATGATTGCTGAGATTAAGGGTCCCTATAAACCATGGACCATGGCCAGGGAACTAGCTCACCTAAATGGAATCCACTCATTATTTACGTAGGTGCTTTCCCTGCTGTAACATGCCAAAACGTCAGAAGGTAAAATTGGGTCACTGTTAACACCATCAGGGCTTATTGGGAGGCTTTAATAGAACAGAGCTATCTTTTATGTTATTGGTAACATCTGTGCTTTTCCTACTGTTTGCAATCAAAATGTCTGTTGGAAAATAAATAAATAAAATAAAAAATCCTATCTCCACAAAGGAGAACAGAGCTCTCCTCATAAACATCTCCAGCTGTCATTAATTAATGCACATTGTGCTTCCTTCATGGGATTACTGGCTGTATTAGAAGTTGTAGGTAATTATGCAAAAATATAATTGGACATATCCTAGTGATTCAGAACAAAGCATTTGGATTTTGCTGACACAGGATACACGGGTCATAACAGATAAGCAGCACCTCCCCTCTGGATGTGGTGTTGGAGCTCAGCTGTATTCGTAATATGGACCGGAATCCCAAGGTATTGGAAAGCTGTTAAGATGTTCAACACATTAACTTTATTTAGCGTAATCTGAACATGTGCTGCAAGTTTAAGGAAAAGTGCAAACCATTTTTAATCGGTCTCCTTCATAACACAGCAAGCATTAGTATTGCTTTCAATAACCGTAAAGCAATCCGATTGAGTACTTTTCTGTATTTGTTAGAAATATAACGTTATATCGACATTAAGACGTGTTGTAGAAATGCGAATGCAGTGATTTCACTTCATAAATCAATGGTCTTTAAGCGGCAATTGTATGGCCACAAAAATTGATAATTTTACCTTTTGTAATGTTCGCTATAGGTAGATTTTTATTGTTGCTGAGTAGAAATGTCATCTATCTCTTTGTCGTGGTGACATCTTTGCGGTGTTTTGTCACGCAGATCTGGTTTTGACTGGTTTAATCTGGTCCCGTGAGCATGCGCACTCGGTGTAAACAGGAAGAACCGACTAAAACCAGGGCAAATCTGGAAGAAAAATGTTCGGACAAAACGAACAGGCGTCTTGTTTTTCCGGATAAATTAACCAGCATAACTTTTGTACTCTACCAGCTGATAGTAATTTCGATTACATCTTGTAGAAGTAGGTGCAGTTTTTTCGACAATTTTGATAGACGCTAATGCCGTAAGAAACCTAACGTTAGACAGAGAGTGACGCGATATATTTCCTTTAGGTTTTGCTCTTGCGAATTTGTCTGCTAGACTGCATTTTACTCAGTGCTCTCTGAAGTCGTCTGAATTGTGTGATTTTTCAGCCGAGGAAAATCTCTAAAAATGGTTCAAAAAGATCAGACGCTGGAGACCCCTCCAGTGGACGGCGAGCCGAGCCCCAGCCCAGTCTCCGGAGAGGCTTGTGCTGAGGCCCCCGGCCCGGTGGGAGAGTCCGGCATTGCAGTCGAGCCGACGGGCCACAGAAAATTCATAAGTGGAGTCGTGGAAGGTAATAGTCAATGCAGAGCGAAAACAACCCAATTTCACATTTGATCCGGTTGTGATCTGTATACAGAAAAAGGGCATCGACATGATGCAACCATCCTGCTTCATAGATGATTATTGTAATCAGTTGGAAATACATGTCACACGCTAATCAAATCATCATGTAATGTTTTGCAGATTATAAGTAAACATTATCTCACGGCCAGATTGTAGAATTTATAGGTGGACGTGTATTAATAGGTGATCAACAGTGATTCCAGTGTTCATTTTGGTTGCCATCTGGCAAGAAATATAGCAAACCTTGGCCGGTTAGACCTTCAGTAACAGTTTTTGTCATCTTATAAATTTAACATTTTGTGTGGTGTGGCTTCTAGTCAGACTAAATAAGAAAAATGAAGACATAGTGCTGGCCTCTTGTAAAAATAACACTTCCTGTATAGCCCTTACCGGTGGGCAAATTGCAAAAGAAAAGGCAGTCAAGCTCATTATGCACAGGAAATGTAGTTGATTATCAGCACTGCAGAACACTAAATGTATTGTTTGCTGATGCAGGCTTTTATGGTCGACCATGGACAATGGAGCAGAGGAAAGAGTTGTTCAGAAGGTATGATGAACTATAACAAATAAATTAAGCAGGCATGTTAATCAAATAACAATTATAGCTAGATGAATTAGGTTGTGTTACACTGACTTTGTACAACATTGCATTTCACAGACAACAGAAATGGGGACTGAATACATACCTGTATGCACCCAAAGATGACTACAAACACAGAATGTTCTGGAGAGAGCTGTACTCAGTGGAAGAAGCAGGTGATTATTTAGAAGAGATCTTGGGATCAGCTGTCTCGGGGAAAGGGAAAATTAATGATATTATGGGTGAAGTGGAAAAAGGCTTTCAGATAAGTTGTTATAAAAGCACAATAATGTATTCAGTGAGTGACCCCCCCCCCCCCCCCAATCTATCTCCTAGAGCAACTTATGACTTTAATTGGCGCTGCTAAGGAGCATGGGATAGAGTTCATCTATGCCATTTCTCCTGGACTGGACATCACCTTCTCCAATCAGAAAGAGGTTTCTGCACTCAAGAGGAAACTTGATCAGGTATTGCAACATTTTGTACGACAGTAGTATGAATGTTGAGTTAAAACTCTTGATGCACATCTTCTTCCATAACCATTTTGTTCGGTTTCATGTCCAACCCTTTTCTTGCCCCCCTCAGGTTACTCACTTTGGCTGCAAGTCATTTGCCTTACTTTTTGATGACATTGACCACAACATGTGCCCTGCTGACAAAGAGGTGTTCAGCTCATTCGCGCATGCTCAGGTTTCCATTACCAATGAAATCTACCAGTACCTGGGAGAGCCTGAAACCTTCCTCTTCTGTCCCACAGGTACCTCAGTTCTGTGTCTGAATCCTTTTGCATGTTTTACACACTTGTTATATCTATTTGTTTATTCATTATTTGTTTTCCTGCCTTGAAATACAGAGTACTGTGGAACATTCTGCTACCCAAATGTCTCACAGTCCCCCTACCTCCACACAGTAGGTGAAAAGCTACTGCCTGACATTGACGTTCTATGGACAGGTGAGCCGAACACCGGTCAACTGGCCAACATCATTGCTACTCTTAAGCAAATAGTCATATATGTCAGAGTAGTAGATAAAATGATTATTGAAATATCATATCGTATATATATTTATTTTCTGTAGGCCCCAAGGTGGTGTCCAAAGATATTCCAGTGGAGTCTATTGAGGAGGTGTCAAAAATCCTAAGAAGAGCCCCTGTTATCTGGGACAACATTCACGCCAATGACTATGACCAAAAGAGGCTTTTCTTGGGTCCATACAAAGGCCGCTCCACAGAGCTCATTCCCAGGCTGAAGGGAGTCCTCACCAACCCTAATTGCGAGTTTGAGTCCAACTTTGTAGCTATCCACACTCTGGCCACCTGGTACAAGTCTAATATGAATGGGGTGCGCAAGGATATTGTCATGAGTAAGTATGATTCCAAAGTGTTCATGCGGAAACGCTGTGACCTCCCTGTATAAGGTTATACCATAATGCAGGGCATTCACCAATCATAATTTGTTTCTCCATCTTGTTCTTTACCAGCGGATGGTGAGGATAGCACCGTGTCCATCCAGATAAAGTTAGAGAATGAGGGCAGTGATGAAGAACTGGAGACAGATATGCTCTACAGCCCACAGCTTGCTCTAAAACTGGCTCTTACAGAATGGCTGGGGGAATTTTGTGTTCCTCATCAATACAACAGTAAGAGCAGTCCCATTATTATATCGCATTGCTAGGCTAATAGCTTTTCCAGCAGTAATATGTGGAACACACTCACATTGTTGGCACGGACAGCCTGACATGATGTTTTTCTTACTGAAGAACGTGATGCATTGAGGCTCAACTCTGTCTTTCAGGCCGACAGGTGCCTCAGAGTGGTGCTAAGAGCGCAGCCATCGACGTGTCGTCCATGGCTGCTCCCTCTCTGTGCTCTTCCACAACAGTCACAACTGTGTTCCAGCAGCCTATCATGTCTCCAGCCATGCCGCCTCTTTGTCTGGATCCACTCTCACACCCCATGGCAAAAAGAGCTCAGGAGGTTGAGGAGGTGAAGATTGTTGTTAATATGAGACAAAATAATAGCACTTGAATAAACGGTCATTTATACAGTTACTTTTTGGGCCCTTGATTAACTAAACAACCAAGTAATGATAACATGACTGCAGGTATTCATGCACACCCCTCAATTCTTTTCCTTCTTTTTGATCAAGTAGTTTTTTTACATTTTTATTTAGTTGTAGTTGAAAAATTCCTTTCTTTCTTTTCATTTGTTTCTTCTGTATCTGGGTCTACAAGTATTTTAATACTGCACATGTGCAGGTGGAGGTGGAGAAGAAGGATTCAGATGAGGAGCCCATGGAGATGGTGGTTGAGAAGATGGTAGATGAGCCAGAGACAGAAGCAGAAGGCGTCCCAGAGGAGAAGCACGTTGGTCCTATCTTAGCCGACAAGATGGCTGAGGACCTGAAGCCCATGGATACAGACAAGGAGAGTCTGGCAGAGTCAAAGTCCCCTGAAGAGTCTATCCAGGAGGACTCTGGGAGCGATATCGCCCCTATGCAGACAGATGATCAGCTCAAACAGGTGTCACAAACATTTGTGAGTTTCTTTTTTCCCCTTTTTATATTGAAGGTAAAAAAAAAAATTTAGGATTCCCTACAAAGTCACATTATTTCTGGTTTGTGTCCTCAGGAAGTGTTTGTGCCTGGGCCCGACGAGAAGCCCCTGTACAAAGCAGAGCCCCTCACTATTGAGGACCTGAGCTTGCTGGCAGAGCTCTTCTACTTGCCTTATGAACATGGAAACAAGGCCATGCAGATGTTAAAGGAGTTCAACTGGTTAAGAGCTAACAGCAGCGTCGTCAGTGTCAACTGCAAGAGAAAGGAGACTGAAAAGGTAGCTTGACTCATTGAAATAAACATTCTAGCGTTGAGAGATGGAGGTATATCTCAGAAATTAGCAATTTATTAACCAAACTTGCTTGTGATAGTGTTGGTTGCTGAAAACAAAATGGTGGATGTGTACTACCCATACTGCCCATTGGGTGGTGTGGTTATGATAGAAGATGGAGTGCGCTTGCACCACAGAGCATTGTATTCCCAAGACTTGTGAAAACTACAGCTTCCCTTATTAAACCATCTGTCTTTTTCTCTGACAAGTCACAGAAAAGCACAGGTGTAAATAATAATGTAAATGATGTCATGTCAACATTGTGATAGTTTACTGGGACACTCAAATAAAAGAGAACCATAATGTTATAATTACAACCTGCGCTTTTCCTACTATTACAAATCAAAATGTCTGCTGTGTTAAAATGCCTATTGCAAACCAAAATGGTGTAGTGCTGTCCTTTTTTTTTTTTTTTTTTAATTCCTCTTCTAATTATTTGATCTTATTTCCAATCACCGTGTTGCCTGCAGGTGGCAGAATGGCAAATGAGGGCAGAGAAGTTTGAGGAGATGTGCTGCTCAGTCATCCAGATGTTCACACGGCTGTCCAATTCAGCCAACCGCACCATCCTATACGACCTCTACTCTTACATCTGGGACATCAAGAGCATCATTTCTATGGTCAAGTCTTTTGTCCAGTGGCTAGGTATGTGTGATCGGAACCATAAGGCGCTTACTCTTAGAGAGCAGTAGCAAAGCAATAGTCTGAGAATAACAATAGTCAGGACTACCAGCCTTGATCTGAGACACATTTACAAACACATTATGCAATCACCCCCTGAGCAAAGCACTGTAATGATTGATTATAAGCTGCATGAATTATGTTGTAGTCCAGTGCTATGTAGTGGTAGGCAAATTCATAATTATTTCACACATCATGCTCAGTCTGCTTAACAGATGGTAGTATTACTGATCATAGACTATGGCTCCTAGAGCTCTTGGCCACTACCTGTTGATAGAGCGAGAACCTGAGTAGTGGCTAATACCTCCAGTTTTAATTGATGGCATTTTATTAAATATCATCTTAGCACAGACTAGGCCAGATCCATCACCTCTCAATAGTTAGGATTCTATTAATTGCTCTTGTTTCACACATGTTGATTGTTTTCTTTTTCTCTTTTGTTTTCATCTGACTGAATGCTGCTTGCACATCACTGGCCTCCTTATTAATTCCATAACTAGCTCTACTCCATCTGGGTGACATCTAAACCGGGTGTCTGTGGCAAACGACCCAGCAGGGTTACTGCTGCTTGCTGTGTATCCAGTAACATCACTGCTGCATTCCCACACAGACACACTTGCTTCCATCTCTCTGTCTGTGGGGATGGGAGCCAGGGGGGGAAGTCCCCATCCTCCCCCTCCCCCTCCTCCATGCCCTAGCGCGCACGCGAGCTTGGAGAGAAAGTTGACTGACTGACTGTGGAAGGCCATTCTGGTGCATAAACTTGGTCAGCAATATCTGAATTGGTCCTTGTTTTTTTCCCACTGGTCTTAACACAAACCATTACAGGAAGGTTTGTCGTGTTGCCTCACTCGACAGTCTCCAAAATTAGGCTGTTGGTGGATTTAAACCCTCTGTATTGATTGCTCAATCTGTATCAGGGTGGGATCCATCACCTTGTATATGAGAGGATATTCTTTCTCTCTTTCTCTCTTTCTCTCCCCCCCCCCCCCCACACACACACACACACACACTTTCTTTCATTCTTTCAGATGGTGCACTGTGATGCAGTTAGAGTGACATTCAGCCTTGTGATAACATCTCCATCTTTGTTTTGGGGTGTTCCTTTGTGAAAAGTCTGAAGCACCAGCATGGCCTGTAGGTTACCCCCTGTAACCCAGTTTCATTCGCAGGTTTCTGTCCTGTCCGGCTATATGGTAAAGCTGAGGACTCTACCCCTCAGTACACAGCAGGCAGCATACCCACACTGGCAAAACCACATCAAAAATCCACACTACTGGTGTAATGCATCAGTAAACGATTGTAACCACTTTAGCAACATCGAGAAAATCAAGTGTCCCATAAATATAATTATCTTTGAATATTCCTGCAGTGTCATTAAGTGCCTAACTATTTACTTTGGCTGGTGCTATTAGCAGGTTTTCAATTCAGTCCCCATGTTTCCCCTTAATAGAAGCTGTGCAGCCGGCACTTAGTCACAACCTCCCTGGTTATTGTACTGAGAACACTTACTAATAACTATTTTCTACTGTTTTCTCCCTTCACTATGTACAGATGGAAGAATCCACAGTACAAGTTTCTACTGCTATTGGATCGACAGTGGCCGATGTATGCACAGTGCTTGCATTGTCTCTTTCTTTTGTTCACATTTCGAAAGGGATTTATGAATATTTTTTTTATTTATTTATTTTATAAACTAGATTTATAAATGTAAAAGATTGATTTGGTGGAAAGGAAGCAGTCCTCCGGATGAAGTCACATTTTGCGCAGCGATTTTAGCGTTGAATCCGAAGTGTTAACTCCAAAATTTCTCTCTTTGGCAGCATCTCTCTAACGTGTTTTTTTTGTTTGTTTGTTTCTGTCAGTAGGCCTATAGAAATGGCTCAGACCAGCCTGATGCACCTACTCAAGGGAATTTACACTTGGCTTTGAAATTTTAACCACAGAACATGATCTTCATCTTACTCAGGGATAATTCTGTGTAGTTACAATATGTGTGCTCACACACACACACACCTGAACCAGCGTAACTGATTGTATGAATAGATCATTCAGGTGGAAGTAGTCCACTAAGAGATCATTCTTTTGTCCGTTTTGTGCTTTTTAGTTTGGGTAAGCAACAAGTTCAGAGTTCCTCCCGTGGGTGCATCTGAGTGCTGTGTTGTGTCAGTTCGTCAGAGGAAATGTTTTAGGTATCAGGGCGAGGTACATATTTAAAGCAGTGTTAGGTGTCCTTCCCGCGCGCTGCATTTCTCTGGTCACATGACAGGGCTTCTCATCAACCAGGGTTAGACTTTGTTAGAAACAACGCCACTGTATACAGACACTTAAGAGCCCTGTGTGCTTAAGATAAATAGGCCACTCCTCTTTATATGCTATGTCCCTGCAGCATATTTCATATTTGATCTATCTGGCTGTGGCATTTAATAGTAGGCTGAGAGGCCCTTTAAATTCAGGGAGTATTCATACCTCTCGTTCTGTCTTCCTGGTTTGATGACTCATTCTCCCCAGTCATGTGACGAGGCAGATACGATGAGAATGTGACTTCACACGGGGTGCTAAGATCAGTGGGGTGATAGCAGCTGAAGCTTACTTTTGTAGTCCATAGACAGTATGGGTTTTGGTTCTGATGGTCAGTGTAATATCTATGAAGTCCGTCAGCTTTTCAGATGAGCATTACCCTAACTGAAACACCAAGGGGGCTGAACTGCACTTAATTCTGTTCTCTCTTCAGTTTTCGGAGAGCGTGCGTTCCACTGCATGAAAGAACGTATTTCTTAAGACCTGCGTACCGTATCATGTGGAGCAGTTTGACATTGTTGTAATGACACAGAGAATTTTAGGGTTCAGAGCTCAAAAGTTTTTTTTGAATAATTTCTATCTTGGACCTGATTTCTTCTTGCAAACACGTAAGCTTTAGTTGCTTGAGCCCCATAAAATCTTTCCTCAGAATATAATTTATCTATTCCAAAATTAGGTCCTTTTTATGTTTTAATGATTAAAAAAAAACATACTTTTATTTATACGGATTATGCTATTAGATACATATGACCCCCTTCCTCCCCATCTCCCCACTCGCTTCATCTGTGTCAGAGAGCCCCATCCTGTGGTAACATGTCCGCTTGGCTCTGCTCCTAACAGGGTGTCGTAGTCAGTCCTCAGCACAATTCCTTAGAGGAGACCAAGAGCCCTGGGCCTTTAGGGGAGGTCTAGCAGGAGAGTTCCAGGTATCTAATGCACCGAATTTACAGCAAACAAATGGAAAAAAAACAGTGTTGTGTTGAGTCGCAAAGCAGATGGTAACGTGCATAGGTATGAAGGGCTTTGGTCTGTCGAAGGTGAGCTGATCGTAATGGGTCGGGCTTCATAACATCTGGGTTCTATCCCCATCACTTGTTCTGCAAGGAAGTCCATGTCCTTGCATTACTTTGGGATATTATCAGTCTGTGGGAGGGGAGAGGGTGCCCTGAAACCCATCCTGACAAGAGGTTACAGCCAGTGTTTGGCATGGCATTTTCTTATTGATTAATTGGAATTTCTTTCAGCAACTGCGCAAGGAGATGCTGCTTTTCCCTAGCGCACGCAGCGCAAGCGAGCATGGCTAGAGTTTTATTTTCATGACATCTCATTTCTTTGCAGGAAAGCACAGCGCACAAATTACCACGCCAACCCCTTTGCAAGAGCACGCGCAAGCATCGCAGCGCACGCGTGAACGCAAGCATGTTTGCAACGGGAAAACTCCATGATCAAACACACCTGTCCAGCCCAAAAGTATTATCTCCATCCTTGGAGAGTAGCAAGACTTATGATGGCAACTGATATGCTATTGAATGACTCAGTTTGCTCACATTTAATCTGCCTCTTAAGTTTTTTTCCTGGAGTTCTCGCCGTCTCTCTGCGCCAGCATCATTATTTTTCTCAACAGGAGGGTCCTGCGCAGCGAAATATTGCGATGTCTTACAAAAGGGAAAGGAGCATCTCCTTAAGCCAGTAAATCCTTAGTCAGACCAAAAACCACCCTTGTTTTTATCATATTTGAAAAGAGACTTTATATGTGCGTGTTCTATTTTCCTTTTTACTTTTCCTAAAATGAGAAATATGTGGTGTTTGCTCTTGTTGTCCACTGTCAGATCAATAAGGAATATCACTTTTATATGATTGTATTTTACAATATTTGTGATTTCAAAGCGCTTTGCTCTTGTCTATAGATCCTTCTGGTTTGATAGTGGCTCAACTGGTGCAAATGCACAGCGAGGCAGTCAGCCAAAGCAGCACCCCACCTGGTCTCAGTGAAACTGAACCTGTTTCTTTTGATACCCACAGAGATTGTTGCCAATCGAAGCGGCAAACGATCTTTTCTACCAACCTCCACCTTCAATGCCAACCTCCAAACTCTATTCCATAAGGCCATACTTTCCCAAAGATGAGGTAAGGGGTTTGTTTGTGTGTTAAGTCATTCTCTTGTGCGTCTTATTTTTTTTTTTTTACCAGAAATCAAGCATCTCGTCCTTAAGTACCAAGAGTTACTAAGCCTGAATAATGTTATAACCAAAGCGTTAGCAATGTATGGTTGCAGAAATGATGTTAGCCAGTTGCTTGTATTCCCAGCAGAACTGGCCTAGTTTAAGCTTTGAATGCTCTGCGTTTTATGTGCCACAATGCTATGCTCAACGTCTCTGTACACCAGCAGATATACCTGTTGAGTGTAAAGGCAGCTTCAGATTGTGTATTTCCAAAATTTCTTTAAGTACATTGAAATTCTTTGTGGCATTTTGTAGGCTTAGCTTTACATTCAGTGTCATAATTTTTGTGTTCATCTCCGCCGCAACAATGACAATGTCTTTCTTTTTGCAGGCTGCGGTTTATAAAATCTGTAAAGAAATGTACTGTGAAGGAATGGAAGATGTACCTTTCTCTGATGAGGATCCTGACCTCATAGGAGACAGGTAAAACATGTATTAGTTTACAGCCCAGACGAAAGCCTGGACTGCAGTTTTCCCCCCTCTGCAGTGCAAATCAACATGGCTGACAAAATCCTTACTGTTTGTTCACAGGTTAGTAGGAGGTCTCCTGACGCTAAGTTCAGAGTATGGGTTTGTGCTAGAGGATGATGAAGGGATTTGCGGTTATGCTCTTGGTACAGTGGATGTCGAGCCCTTCATCAAGAAATGCAAGTTGAGCTGGATCCCCTTCATGCAAGAGAAATACCACAAACCGGACTGTCAGAAAGACCTGACAGAGGCTGAGGTAGGATCTTAATTCATCTCTCTTACTATCATATTAGATAAAATATTGTGTCTCCTATGGTTGAATTTTACTTTACCATCTCTTTCTGTCGCCCCCGTAGAAGATGATGCTGAGTTTCCATGAAGAGGAGGAGGGTCTTCCAGACTCTTTCCACTCCAACTTTCCCTCTCTCATAAAGGTTGACATTCACGCCAAAGTCACTGACCCCAGTGTGGCCAAAAGCATGATGGGATGTCTTCTATCTTCTCTCAAGGCCAACGGTAGGTGGCAGCCATCTTCATTTATGACACCAACATCCTTTGCTGCTTGCTGCGGAAAGACCATATTGTATTAGTGTTATTAGTCAAGTTGGTGTTAGAAAATTTAGAGGTGTCAATCAGTACATGTATTTAAACGACAGTTTTGGTTGCGTTTCTTAAGTTCACAGATCGTATCTACATGTAATGTTAAATGGCATCCTCTTGAGGTTAGGACCTTAAGTGTACATTATGTTCTTTTGTCTTTAACATCCATTTAGCAAGTGAAGTGTGAATCAAGGACTACAAATACATGATGTCATCCAAACCAAACTACAAAAATGAGTGTGTTGACTAGTGATCTGACGCAGAATGACAGAAAACAGGGCTTTCAGCTTTCAGAAACAGAAACTATCAAAGCGCTGCCTGAAATAATCTTCTCTTCCTGTGAGGTCTTGAACCAGTTTATCACTGGTCACTGACACAGTGGAAGATTGTCGTCAGCTTAATGCCATATTTGGCCATACCGATTGTCGGGAAGACCATTTTTGGGATTTCAATTTTTTTTGTACTGACTCAGTCACTCTGTTTTTGTCTCTCCCTTCCAGGGTCCCATGGTGCGTTCTGTAAGGTTCGTCAGACTGATAAGAGAATGTTGGACTTCTATAGTAAGCTAGGATGCTTTGAAGTGGCCAAAATGGAGGGCTTCCCCAAAGACGTCATCATTATGGGACGCAGCCTATGAAGAAACGTCCTGCTACAATAACAGAGACAGAGAGCAAGTCAACGTGGCTTGAACATGTTTGCTACCTTCATGAGAAAAACTTCCATGATGATTTTATACTACATTACCATCAGGGCTAGCCCCGAGAAAACCTCTTTTTAGGATTTGTGTACAGAAGCACAGCAGTCGCACACACAGATTCCCTGTGCTGCCCTTAGATATTATGGCTCTGTTGGAGTCAGCAGATCTGAAGCTAAAAGGCAGAGGAGTGATCTGTAGTCTGCTGATTTGAGCCAGCATGGAAGAGTGGCACTCCAGCATTGATTTCTGGGGTGCCACTACTCGTATACCTCCAGGAGGCAGGAAGTGATAACTCCATAAGCCTTTTTCTGATTTAAACCCGTAGCCATTTCATGGAAAGCGCCCGCATGCCCTAACGCAAAGTGTCTGTACCTGAAATGGAAGCAGAGCTGTGAAATGAGGGCGGCCTGTGTCTCAGGTAGTGTCTCGCTACCCCTGCGTCCTGCTTCCCCAGCTTTAACATAGAGAAATAACACAGCTGCCAACAGAAGTAGGACACTTTCATACAGGATGTGAGGTGCTACGTGAGGGTTTGCCTTCCATCATCACATCGTGGTATTTCCACAACAGACTTGGAGAAAGAAGCCTTTTATGTGGCTTGTCTCGAACAAAAAGTGATGAGTATAAGTAGGAAATTTTATAGTTTTCCGTGTGAAAATCTTAATCAAAGATTGTGACACACCAGCAAGGGAAAAGTATTTGTTGAGACTGTAAAGAAAATTAAACCAGGAGGTCCTCAGAATTTCAATTGAAGTAATAGTAGACATTTGGAAAGCACGAGGAAAGCTACCAGGTTTACAAACATGGTTCTCAGTCAGTTTCTGTTCAGTGCTTTGCTTGTGGCCATTTATTATTTTTTATAATTCTGCTGTTTTTTGTGCTATTGCCTTTTGGTTCATTGCTTTTTGTATTTTAGGTTTATATTGCAGGCCCCAGTGTCTACTGTGTAAAGGCTTTCTAGCATGTGTCACTCAGACAGAGCTAGAAGGAATTTTTTTTTTTTTTTGGACATCTGCCTTGTTGTTGCTCAAATTCCAGAGATGTAGCTTGACAATCGCATGTCTTAGTTTTGCCCTGCCAGATCCAGGAGGTCACTGTCAGAGAAAGCTCAGACCATCTCAGCAGCAACAACCCTCCTGTGATCGTAAAGCTGCTCAGTTTCTTCTTAACCACTAATTCCAAACCTGACTTGTAAAGCAGCAGGTGATCTGACCTGTGTTCTAGAGATGTGCTGTGCTGGAAAGTTATCTTTTGCTTGTCATCGGTAATAGAAAGTTATAAGTTTTCAACTATCATCTTGCACCCCTCCCTTGCATTGTTTCAGCATTCTCTGGAATGAAAGTCTTCTCAGTTGAACCTTGCCAAGCACCCTTGGTATCGCAGAGGTTGTTAAATCCAGTCACCAAAGTGACACTGACTCCCACACTGTTGAACTGTTAAGGTGTGGCAGGGCTTGGAGCAGAAATTCCGAGGCCTTTTCCTATTTGTCCATGTTGAATGTTTTATATTCTGACTCGTTTCCCATTTGTTTTTGTAAATGTATGTAGTTAATTTAAAATAAAAGCAGTTGGGACTATTGATAGGAGTGTTCTGCTGGTTTCATGTGGATCATCAGTTGCTCTCCAGTGGCTGCTGCCAATGTGATGTTTTGATACTGTGTACATTCATAATGTGCATGAGGTGTACTGAAATTGGTGTGGCGGTCATTAGAATAACCTCATCTTGTGCTACATAGAGCAAGAAGCATGCCACTCACCTTTATGAGCACAATACTGTAGTTGGTAGACAGTGCTAACGCTGTCAATCATAAAGTGTTATTATTTTGTATATCTCTATAGAAACTGTGGCTAGCATTCTGTTGTCCTTGAAGGAAAAGAAAATGCTGGCCTTCTAATGATGCCCTGTCCTGTTTTCCGCAAGGTGTGAAACTCACCAAACGATCTCTCCTGAAATGACAGCAGAACTTTCAGGCTTGTTTTAAACGGTTCATTTGCAGTTTGTTGATTGGGAGGGGGGCTCATAAAAAGTGACAGTTTACCATGTAAAACCTGTATGTAAAATACATAATATTAAAAACTAATAAACTATAATAAGAAACTTTGCTTTTTGTCCTTTATGTTGCACTGTCTGGACTGAAGGGGTGAACATTTCTGTCCAGTGTTGAACCTGCCCTGAAAGAAGCTTTTCACGGACTCCATCACTAAATACACCTGGTTCTGCACTGTTGGCATAAGAGTAATCCTTGATTTATTGTCCCTGAGTTTTAAGGTCATAAACTTTTACAAGCTTAAATTTTGTGGTGGTGCAAACTGCCCTTTCATTGTTCCTGACACAAGCCTTTTAACTTGTGGAAAATCGTATTTAAACATAAATGTCATCTGAAATCACCACCGGCTTCTTAAACCAAGCTTTTCCTTCCTGGTTGTATAAGGTTCTTATAAATGCAAAGATACAATTGTTATTGAATTTCAGTTTTAAACTTCTGCTTCCCTCGACAGCCACAGATCAGTAGAAAAACATTTAACATTAATTTACTACTTTATTTAGCTTTAATGACTTCATAGTTATTTTTTATGTTACTTTCTTTATACAGGAGCGTTGGTCGAATACATCCATGATTGATCTGGAGCATCTGGAGGAGGAGAAAAAAAAAATCACCGAGCGGCAGGCGCACAGTGATGACGCGTCAAGCATGCTCATAGTTTGCGACTCGCTTGTAATATTTCGCTGAGGGTTCATTTAGCGGTAAAGTGTTAACAGCCAAACCAAATTTAGTGCTTCGGCAAAATGTCTTTCCACGACGACGAGTCTTCTGATCTGGGTCCGGCGGGTCAATCAAAGTTGGAGAGCTTTCTGTTCAGTAAGTCGCCGTTTACAGTGTTTTATCAGTTCGCCTGTTTTGGCGCACACGTGGGTCTCTCCTGAGATGCTCCGAGTGCAGAACCTGCTTTGATATCTCCTGAATGTTTATGTTCCAGTGAGCCAGTGCAGGAACTCTACATGAAATTTAAACACTGTAAGTAAAATGACCGTGGGTTTTGTCTTCCAGGCTGCGAGCTGTCCTCCAAAGTACCTTTCTACACTTTCCAAGGAGATGAAGAGGAGGACCTGGAGCACTTCCTTGAACTCAGGACGGTATGTACAGTTGCAACAGAGTTTGTGTTATCAAATTCTTCGCCCCATCACTTTAATGCAGGGCTTACAGGAAAGTCTGTATCGTCATCTTGTATCCAGTGCTGTTAAATCATAGTTTTATTATTATTATATTTGTGATAAAGTTACAACTCGAATCCGCCATTGCTCTGGCTGCCAACAGTGTGGGTACATGTCAAGTGAATACATTATTGTGATTCCTGCAGGTTTGTCTCGGGGAGGGTGCCAAGGAGGAGAGTAATGTGGTGGAGGTAACGGCCATGAACCACCAAGGAAAGACTATTTCAGTGCCCATCGCTAACCTTCACATCAGCTGTCTGCCCATGGTACAGTGTAGTGATTTTTTTCTTCTACATGTAGATGAATGTACCACACGTGATAGAGATGTATCTCAACATTCACCTTTTCCTCAGGTGAGTTTGGGAGAGTTTGAGCTGAAAGCCCCCGTAACCATTCGGCTGAAGGCTGGGACAGGACCAGTTACCGTCAGCGGGTTACACCTCATAGGTAACGCTTCAGTTCTTCACTAAACAAAACCCTTTTTAATCCTCCCAGTGCTTTGTTAAACAATGAATGGCCCACTGAGAATGTCTGTGCATGTAAATAAATGTCAATAAATAGGCTAATAAAAAGCACAACATAATGGTTAAGTGACATGCTCTAAGAAGGAGGGCTCCAAACTGTTCCAGGACATTAGTTGGACAAATGGAGACCACGTAGAACTGAGGTCACTAATTGGCGGACCAGATCTGGACCCAGCCACCGTCCTCTCCGGACCAATAACTGGCTTATTATTGAGAATTACTACCTCGTGACAGAGCATTTCTGTTTTAGAAGAGGAGGTAAAGCTGTTCATTTGTTAAGATGTGTTGAGTGTTTATTATTATATTGGTTGAGACTACACTTTATCGCTTCAAGCTACACTTCTTATTTTATTTTTTTCTGAAATTAAGCATTATTATTTATCATCCCTCCAGTTTGATGTGAAAACTGACAGTATCCTAAATATTGTATCCGAAATATTTGATTTGACAGCTGTTGACTAAAAACACATGTTAATACAACTATATGTTATGGTACTGAAGGGTAACACAAATTAGTTGTAATGATGTTCCGGATCTTTGCTTTGGGAAAATTTCTATAATTAGACCTCTTTAAATTTTCATTGAATACCCCTGACATAGAATATCCTAAATGTATGTGAAGAGAGTTCAAAGATAACACAGTTTGGGGGAATTGTAAGGTCTTTCCCACTTTCCAGAGTCAGAAATGCTTTAGGACAGACTTTTTATGTATTTGGTGTAGTCAGAATTTATGTCAAATAGCATTACAATATTATATAACAATCATGATCCCTTAGGCATCTAGGACTTGAAAACTAACCAAGTAAACTAAGGGGGTTGGGTGAGGGGGGTGCCTTTTTCCAAGCTTAGTTTCAGGGGAGGCCTACAGTCACATAACCCTGCTCTGAGATATTCAACATTTTCACACATTCAACACACATTCACCAGTCCAATAACTAATGACAATTCTGAACCATGAAAACAGTAATGTGGGTACACTGCTTTAGAGCTTAAACAACTAGTTATTTCATTGGTTGATCAATAGAAAAACATATTTCACAACAATTTAATAATCAGTTAATCAATTCAGTCAGGTTTTAAGTCTTATTCAACCATATCTTTTTTTTTTTCAACCAGTTTTGGACTGCTATTTGAATACGTCAACTTGGGCATTGGGCAAAAGTAGTAATAGTAGATTAGTATTTTTTTTACCAATTTTTAAAAAAAATCAATGAATGAATCAAGAAAATAATCGGCAGGTTAATTGATACATAATATTAGAATAGCTGGGAAACAAATTGGGATTCTTGATGTTCTAAAACACTTTTGTATCTTTATTCAGTTTCTCTTGAATTTTAACTACATAAAAAGTTAAATGTATCTTTGGGCAAGAAAATGTCCAATTTCTTTCTAAATAAAACCCCAAACCTGTGACAATTTTATAAGTATTTCAATTCTAAGTTTTAAAAGTAGATTGTGACTTATTTCAAAAAAATCTGTGAAATGTGCATTAATCCATCACCTCCTGCTCTCAACACTGGTTGGAATGAGTGTGTGCAGCTGCATATTACTAACTGTGCATGAGGTCAATTGAGAGGGGAGATTAAATAAAGCCACCTTTCGACCTTTTTATTAAATATAATACCAGGATTCTGTGTAAGACAATGATTTAACATTGTCTTCCGTTCTTGGGCAGCCTCACAGGTTGACGAGTCGGACCTGTCTGATGAGGACGACGAAGATGATGATGATGACGAGGAGGAAGAGATCACTCCCATTAAACCAGCAAAGAAAAAGCAGAAGCAGTAGGCGGAGAGGTCACTGATGGGAAATTAGTAATGGCCTCGCTCACTCGCTGATATGTTTTAGGAAATAACACATTTTTTTTGTACCAGATGGACACATTTTACAAATTTAGTGGTTCTTCTGCACAGCCAAGTGAACGCTTAATGTGGTGGCAGCTGAACTTGCTGTTTGAGGAAAGAACATCATGACAGGCTCTGACGTTGGTTTCAGCGGTGTACTTAACCGCATAAAGGACATTCACTTATAGAACTGTTTTTGCCATTAAATGCTACCCAGTGTTTTATACTGTATATGATACAGTCATCACTGATGCAGATTTATTGCACCGGTGGTGGACAAAGTCTTTTACCACCAGTGGTTTGTGCTAGTGTTTGAAGATACTGTTCTTGTAAAAGTTTAAAACTCTGTGTGTGTGTGTGTGTGTGTGTGTGTGCGCTTGTGCGCTTGTGCGTGCATAGCTGAATGGTGCAATGAGATGATTAACATACACAGTTTATTAAATGTTCTTGGTGCACACGATAATCACCATTTCCAGTTGTTTGTAGTTCCAAAATGCTGTGTTTTCTATGTGAGATGTCAATCATAAATGTGAAGATTTTGTACCTCTAGTGAATGCATCAAGAAAACATTTGTGTCTTCATTTGTCATGCTTTCGATTTCTGTTAAATCTAAGCCTATTATATTAAAATATTTACATTTTTTTGAAATAAGCAAGTAGTTTGTAATGTGGACACATGTAGAAGAAAGCCAGCATTTTTTTAAGCCCCTGAAAAACTTGTGTATAACACTTTAACATTAACAATCCATGATTAAATAAACTAAATTAAATTTCAGAAAACTGAAAGGTTTTAACACCCAGCCATGTCTTTGGGTTGAATTTGAATGAATAGCCTCGCATTACAAAAACGAAAACAGGTTCTCTGAGCGTTTAAGGTTGCACAGCTGATTTAAGTTGAAAGGGTCTGCTGGTTTAGAAAAAAAGCCAAATGAAGAATAGTAAGCAGAAGCAAAGCTACCATGGAAAGCACTATTACCTAAAGTTAACTATTACTCTGTAAAACGAATGGCCAAGCTGACAGTAAACCAACAATGGACAACTCAATAGTGTGATATCAGTTGAAGCTTCATGAAGGCAGATGTACAAATACATACACATTACTATCCCACCTGCACTGTACAAACACCCTCACATGTAAACATGATCTTTGCAAGGCAGCTGTAAATAGCACGCCACTGTCGTAGATGGTATTACTGCTTCTGCAGATTGTCAGAGCCATCCCAGTCCGTCTCATTAGAGCCCCTTGTTCAAGTAGTAGGCCTACTGCATTTCATACTGAGATGCAATGCCATGGAGGAAGAAAAATCACAAAGACAGACCTTCCCCATCACATACACTGCACATTTGAAAGTGTTTCTCAGCTGTACTTTACTGTACAATAAAGGATTTATCCGGAAGATAACTGCCATCTGCAAATAGCCAATAAACCACAGTCCAGTCTGAAAGTTTTGCCCGTCTGTCAGCTGCTGTTATCATTTAATTTCTGTGAGAAGAAGCAAGCAGGCTGCAGCCACCATGCAGATAAGACTGGATGAGATGCAGGGAAAGAGATGGGAGAAATTTAGAAAAAGGAGAAGCATTGTTAAACCCAACACAACCTCTCTCCACTGATAAATGACAACACCCTGTGTGCTTGATTAACTGCAGAGGCTCTGTCCATGCAAACAACACAAAATACATGCATATCTTGGTAAACACATTCAGCTATATAAGCTCACTGCTCACCTGCATGAAATCATATCTCTCCCGTCTCTCTACATAATGATGGGTGGCATGACTGTGGCACAGTGGGACGAGAGGAGGGGAACATCGAGGGAGAGAGTGCTAAACAAGTGACACCGCTGAGCACCAGATGTCCATAAGAGGGTAACACTATCACAATTCTTGTCCTAACAACTAAGTCATGCCAGGTGCTGCCATGGTAACATGAGAAATGACCACCTGTGTGATGCCCTTGATGGCGGTTTCCTGTTAACAAGGAGACAGGATTGGGGGGGGGAGACAGGCAGGGTAGGAGCGCTTTATGAAGAAATGATGCATCATTAAGATGTACCCTTGATCTTCCCAGGTGCTTGCTGATATTATGCCATCTCTCTCTCTCTCTCTCTCTCTCTCTCTCTCTCTCTCTCTGGGAGGAGAAGGTGATGACGAGATGGTAAGAAACAAGACAAGTAACAACACCACATGACCTCTAGATTTTGATGGCGCTTTCACAGATAACGAGAGTATCTGAACTCAAGAGGTAGACTGATGGAATTACACACCACCGGAGTGAGAAAAACACTCAAGGGGTCATTCTGCAGATAGCAAATCAATGTGTAACAATCCACCAACTAGTTAATGTCACCTTGACTCTGAGCAGGTGCTGCAGCTTCTTATTTTCTGACTCATAAACCGCATCCAGTAGGCTGAGTGGGAGTTTTCTGGACCTTTACACCATTTTTATTGGGTATAAGGGTTTTATGGTCCGGCATCTGTTAAGTCCTCACCGCCATGTAGAGGTTACAGAGGCGTCCAGGGCAGGGCTTTTGTCTGTAGCATGAGCAACATCAATCCGCCAGTTCACACATAGAAGCATTTCACAAGACACGCTGCTGCCAAATAAAATGTTTTCTTATTTGGAAGAGTTGTACATAATATTGTTATAAATTTGATTAATTTTTTGTACATATGCACCATAAGTTCTTTTAAGTTCCAAGAAAGAAAGTTCAGCAAAAATTCTGTCCAAGTGTAAAGTGTAAAACACTTTTGGGTGTGGACTCTTCTTCTTTTTTTTGTCTGGAAAAAAAGAGGGCCTCATCAATTTCAATACATTAAGAAAGGGCTTAGAAGTGCTGATCTGTGGAAGTATTAGAGATGAGCGTACAGTACATGGATGACTCGTTTTTAACTTTAACACAAATTGGGAAGTACCATGAAGTACAGTGAGCGTAATCAAGTAACTGCAAAAGAATCCAACTTCATCATGCTGAGTCCCTCATCTTTAGCTCATTAAATAACAGAAAAGCTGTTGCAAAATGATGAGAAAATAGCTGACGCACACGCTCATTGATTGCGTTAGTCTGACTGCGTTCAGCCCAGACTTTAAGCTTTGCTTGTCCACCATGCCACATGGAAAACACCTGACCAAAGCTATTTTTAAGTGACCTTTTTAACTACTGCATTTTTAACATATTCTGTCCTTTTACCCAATTTATTCAAAGGAGTTGGGATCTCTCCAGTCAAGACAAGTGTTCCAGTAATGAAGAGGGATTTTAGAAAGTTGGCCACAGTTATTTCAAACACTACAATGAAACAGAAAGATGTTGTTGCATTGAACTGAAAGAAAGAAAGGCAATGTTTGGGGATTTTCAGGTGACTGTGTAAGAAAATAAATAAAATATAACTCTAGAGAGACAGTTGACTGGGGATTTTGACTGTTTCTGTCTGTTTTTCTGCCGCTACACACTGCATCTCTGATTACACTCAGATTTTCTGTTCAGTTGGTGTTTTCTGCCCAAACAAGATGCAAAAGCCATACTGTATCTGAGAGTATCTTCAAACACTGTAGCTAGAAGATAATGTAAGATGTGATATTAAAGTTGTTTCGTGAATACCTGGCTGAAACAACTTCCGGTTTGCTAATTTGTGAGGCCATCATGAGCAGAATCTTAACATACACACAGACACACACAGAACTCACAAATAAATCCCTTGATTGCACAACAGAAATATTCATATATACAGTTATGTATACACACTGTATAGTTCATATATTTAGGTGTAATTCTAGGTACAATAACTATTAAAACGATGATTTCTACTACTGCCTTTAGAGAATGGTAGTGGAGTAGAGAGTAGATGTGTTCTTCTAGAGTAGAATCAAAGCATAAAGCTGTGAAAAATGGAAATAATCAAGGTGACTATCATAAACTCAAAATGACTAGAGAAAACATATATTATGAGTTTCCACCTCTGACATGTGTCACTCCATTGTAGGCCAAAGTTACTATAGCAACAGCTGAAGCACCTCTCACTCAGAAACTGATATAGCTGTTCTCCACAGAGGGACTCTGAAATGCCCTTTAATTGTGATCTGAGCTGTCTCTGTCATATTCATATATACACAAACACATTTCCACTGGTGCAGCACGCGCACTCTTTCCAGTCGTTGCCTATTTCCCCTTATATACATTGTTTTAATGTTGCCTGTTTCTCTTCAGCTGAAACTCGACAGAGAGCTGCTTTATGTTACAATGATTTCCACGAGCAAAAATAGACCTGAAGATCAATAAACATTGGCCACGGCTCGTTGTCTTTGATGTTTTTGCACTGTGTGTGTGTGTGTGTGTGTGTGTGTGCACTGCTGTCCTGGATTGGAGTTTTGGCACAGATTTCAAAGGCCTTATGAGATAAAGGTTAGCATTCTGCGAGGTTGATGAACAGCCACTGTGTTGCATTATGCTATGTGTCCAGACTAATAGTAGTAATAGCCACTCATTTATTCCACTTACTATAATACTTAATGCTGCCATGTCATGCCACCTCTCACATCTGCTCCTGAACTGACAGGACAGTGACGCAAGCTGTACAAATGTATTGGGGCTATGTCAATATAATTCATCAAAGGCCTGAGTTATAGAGGAAAACTCCACCCTCAGATACTCATCAGCTGCTATATATCACCAGACTGCAATGTTCAGTACATTCCAGGAGTTATTCTGTGATGAAGTGGCTTTATACATTAATTTCTCTTAATGAGGTGGAGATTTTCTTTATTTTAAATAATTACTTTCACCCCACCCTCTTGTAACCGGTTTGATAATTCAATCTTGGTAGAAAATGGCGTCACGACAAAACCTCTCTTTCATTCTAAGGGACTGACACTAGGATCTATTTTTTTAAATCCTCTTTTCCATAAAACATCTTTTTTGGCTTGAGCAACAGCAGATCTGTGGCTGCAATGTGAATGTTGCAGAGCTATTACAACATCTGTTACAGTATCAACATTTCATCAAATGTAAATATACTATAGAAATATAATAAGTGCTGAGCAACAAAATGTGCATGTGAAAGAAACAGAGAGAGATAGTGCTCACTGTAAGTCCAAAAGTACCTCTAGACACTGGCTAAAGCACACAAACAACAGCTGCACAACAGCTGACAGTTCCCCATGCATTGAAAACACACACACACACACACACACACACACACTACAGACTCACGTCCTGTTGCAGGCAGGGGCGTGTTGTACTTGTACATATACAACTCAAACACACCTGCCACAACAGAGCACCGCTGTCAAGTGCATCACCCTTTACCCTATATGTAACCTCACTGAGCACACACACACACAGAGCGGACTTCTGCACATATATGAGGAAACACACAGTAACCGGCTTATGCGCTGACAACTGGGCACACATTCACTCACAACAGGATTCAACTCGAACCAAACCTGCACATGTAGCAGCACAAACCAAACACTCACAAAGCTACACCTTTTTAAAAGCATGTTTGTGCCAATACTAAGATTGATAAATTTTCTATTAGACTGTGTAATAATCTGCAGTGGGCATTCAAAATATTGAATAAGGAAATACTGACGGCAAATATTTTTCAATAATTTTAAATAAAATAAGACAGAATTCAATCTTCTTAAACATTTTAGTC